TGAACCCGTCTGGCCAGCGTGGTATAGTAGTAGGTAGGTATGTCCAGCAGTGGACTATTAAGGGCTGTTGATGATGATGATGATGATACATAGAAAAAACCCAAACTCCGAAATAAATATTTGCAGATCATGCAAACATTTGGTCCGGCCCGGGAATCGAACCCGAGACCTCAGCTCAGCAATCGCATACGACCTACCTACTATACCAACGAGGCAGTCAAACGTACCACTTATTGTTACATTAAGATTATTATTATTAACTTTCTAAGTTTTCACTTGTCACCTGATGATAAGTAAATACCGCCGCCCATAGATAGAGAAAAAAAAAAAGGTGCGTTAAGTGCTGTCAAATTATTTCCACTTTAAAAAGAAAGAATAGTTTTACACTATGGCAAGATTCAAAACGACTGCACAACACAATAATACAGTACACAAATAACCAAATACTTAAAGGCTCTTAAGCTGTTACAAACGTCAAAAAACACAGTCATAAACCTCCAACTCCTCTGCTGATGTAATTCTAATCCCCAATAGTGAAAGGATATTCTCCGAGGTCGAAAGGAACAAATAATGCCCAAAACACGACCGCCATTGCACAACAACTGCTGTATATTTAAAGACGTGTAGATACTCATCTAAACTCCCTAAGCTTTGTTGTAAAAGAATTGTTCCGTTGATGGGAAAATTTATGGTTTCGTCATGTCTATGTTAAACTGCGTACGGTTTAATTGAACAATGTTTTATTGATAGATATATAGTTTCTTAAGTTATAAATATTCATGTTTTATTTATTTTAAGTTTTATTTATGACCAGTCGTTTTCTGCAGTTGAACCTGCAAATATTACCACTACCGACATTTAGGGCCTTGTAGCTTAAAAAACTAGGCGGTGACCTATATGTATTAATTCTCAATAAATACTGTGTTATGCAATGTAAAAAGATTAATTCAAATCTGACAGATAATTCTAGAAGCATATAGAGGGATCACTGTAAGATAACTTTTTACCTGAATTTATTATGTTTCTTAATTATTGTTGATATTCATGCATACGTAAAATGAGACCAAATATAATTTACAGAAACATTGATATTAGACACCTACTTATTGCTTACTAGAAAAAACTTCCAACTTTTATATGTATTGTATCATTTTTTTAACGCAATAAGTTGAGTATTATGTACACTATACATATACAGTCGTATTCTCAAAATTTTTATTGTTTTAGGTTTTGATGACCATGTGATTATGAATTTATATGACATTGGCGATAATTTAATGTGTTTGTTTTCTTAACAATGACATTTTCTAACACACGCGCGCTCTGTCTAGGCTTCATCAAGGTTGTCATCGCTTATTCTGCAAACTATAGAACATTAAATCACAGAGGTCGTACATTTAAATAAAACCACAAACTTAAAATATTTAGATTTATAATCTGTGGTTACACCTGCGATTAAATTGGCATTAAACCATGTAGCCATTTTCAATTCAGGTATTTTGAAGACGACAGAAACTTTATCTTTTACGCTCCTGGGTTATAAGCACACAACCTTTGTAGGGGGTTTTCAAATAGGGGTTATATGTGCTAAGGTTGTTAAAAGTAAAACTCTTTAATTTAGCTTATATAAAGATTAAAAATTGGTAACGTTGTTAAATAATCCTAACATTTTTTTAGTAATTGTATCAGAAAAGGTTAATAAGCAAAACTTAAAATAAAAGCAAGCCTAAAAGCCATCGTATGTTTCCATATAAGTGTGTAATGTGTGTGTTTATTTGTACATAATAGTTTTTATACATTTATTAAATGTCAATGTCACGCTAGATTAAATAAGAAATATATATTTTAAAACGAGAAATTACAAATTTTGAGCTCGGTTCCAATATACCATTTTTTTCATTAAAAAAAACGTCTCACCTGATGTACCTCTGACATACAACACATAAAGACATTTCTAAACGTTTTCATAATTTATTTCTATCTCCATATACACCATCGATACCGATAAAAATGTATCGAGGAGAACAATGTCTGTAATCTTAAATAACATAGGGGTACAAGATAGGTCTGTTTATGGGCCAGCGCGGACAATGGGTCAATAATTACTCGGCGTGGGCGGCCCCATACCAGGGTAGACTTGTACGGCTAACTCGAGATCTCACCCTACTAATAAGAGGGGAGTTGATTTGTGATTTCCTCAAGATTCCTTTTTGGAATTCATCACATTTAAATTCAAAATCATTTGTTATACTGATACACTACAGGCATTACATAAGAGGTAATTGAAATCTGTCAGAATTAAATAATTAGGTTTCATTTTGAATGTGTTTCAGATAAAAATACTATAATTGGGTATTTTAGAGCTGATCTAACAATAGAGGGGGCAAAGGAACAGACGGGTCACCTGATGGAAAGTAATTACCGCCGCCCATGAAACCTGCAACACAGTAGTGAAATCGCGGCGGATTGCGCTATTTTCTTGAAGGCGGTTACTAAGAAACTCCTCGAGTTTGAGCTTATAAATTCATTTCAACAAGTCGAAAAGAAATCATTTCAGGTGCTTACTTTTATATTAGGTACTGATTGCTATTGATATATTGATTGCTGATACAATTTGTATGCGTGAACTATTAGAACTATCCTTGTAGCTAGCTTGCGGTCGAATGGGAAGGACCTAGAGAGCCCTACATTCAGCAGTGGATTCGTAATAGTTAACTTATTGATTAAGAAACATAACATTTACGATGGTAATTTATAATAAGAAAAATAATATGAACCTACTATCTCAAAGAGAAAATGTCTTCTAATTCATTTAACATAAGACAAGTTAAACTCAATGTTGTATGTACTTATAAATCAGTCGGCAATACGTCACTCCAACGCGCGCCGCGCTAAACCATAAAGACATTTGCTGCGCTAAAGCTCTGGTTGGTAAACAATGGCAGCCAGTTTGTTATCTATTTCTGTATTTAGGTCTAGCCTTATTTGACACATGTGCTTATTTGTAATTCACCCTAGTCTGGTTTAAAGATAAATATAGTCCCTTTTAGAACAACAACTAAAAAGCAATGACATTTTAAGTTTTTTTATGGTATGTACAAACCTTTCTGCGCTCTTTTTAAAGTCAATTCTTTTTTTTCTTTTTTTTTTTAAGACAACGCGGGGACTTTACAAACATACATGAAACGGACACAAAGAACACCCAGACTCAGAACAACATTTTGTGGATCACACAAAGTGATGTCGAACCCACAACACTTAGGCAGGCGAGTCACCGCTTAAACCACCACGCCATCCGTGCAGTCAATCAAGAACGTTGTATTATCTTTGATTTATATTTTTTAGGTAAAAGAAATTAAGAATAACTGTTTACGAAGATCGATAAATCAATACCATCAAAAAGGTACTTTAGTTTTAAGTATAAACACTGTAATAGCGTATTTTATATTTTTAACTGGTCTTAGTTCATGTATCCACGTTTACTTTACATGTTCAGTTGAGTCTGTAATTTATAGTCACCACTTTGGAAAGGGTATAATGAAAAACTTCGGCTGCTTCTATGTGGAAAAGGATTTATACATAAAAGCTAGCCTATATTTATACTTAAAAGTGTACTTGTAAAAAAATGGTTTCGACCAATCACATAGTCAAGGGTTACGCCCAATCACGTAGCTCCATTAACCTTATCGATTTAACCATTGTTTCTAGATTTTAAGTAAGGCGGTTAATTTAAAATTAATTTTCTCTTTTGCAAGGCAATGGTAGCAAGAAGTGGTTTTGCTTCAAACGATAAATTTTCAGCGAAGTTTGCAATCACCTTAAAATTTAAACCTTATTAACGCTAAGCCAATTCACAGTCTTCTGCAGACACTTAAAGCAAGTTGGATACAGTTGCGTTTTGCCAAAGCTACAGAAATATTTCAACAAATTTTATAAACGCTTATAGAATTAAAAAACTAAGTCCCTACACCGATTGCGAGCTAAGTGTCGTTATTAGTTTCAGCCGTCTTCTTATTGGATACTCTAGCCTAGAAATGACTACAGAACACTGCCTGGTGACGTACTGCTAAATAAAAGGAAGCAGCCTTCACTCCTCTGTGTAATAAATATTAAATCGCTTTAATAACCACACCTAGATTTTATTTTTTCTCACGATGCGCTTGAATTTATCTAAGTATAACGACAACCAGAGAAACTAAATCGTGTAAACTACTATTAATCAAATATAACCAATATCTATTCCATTCCTAGGACCTAACAGCTTTCAAAAGCTATTGCTTAATTGTATATGAGGTAGATGTACAATAGACAATCTGCTAGTGTTCAAAAACAGAAAAGTTCTCAGGAAATCTAGTGGCACCCAGAACGTACCAAAGCTCCCATTAGGCAACGGTACGATAACCGGTTACCTACCACCCACGAGTGGTGCACTTATTTGACACCTTAGATATATCGGTCAAACGCGGGAACAATTCCTAAGGGCTGAGATTCAAATAAAAAAAATATTTCTTATGAACTTATCTACCAACAGTTTTCTAAAAGCAATGTTTTTTTATGAACTCTTAAATTATTTTAGCTTGGTATGTACACTTTCTTCAAAAGGAATTAATTGTTGCAGTCGTTTAGCGTCATTACCTTTCTGAATACCCTCATAACGGCACCAGCCATGTCACAATTTAGCTGACTGAGTAGTCGTTTTTACAAGGATTTAGTAAGTAACTCTATAAAGTACACAATATTTTGAAGTTTCTTGGCATTGCAGTCAGCAGACGAAATAACATCACAATTTTGGCGCACAAGTCCCAAAAATCCTGAACTAGGTGACGACAATCGAGAAGAGTGAATTTCTTCTATCAAATATCTTAGAGAGTGCTTGAAGACAACCGGCTTCACCTTTATAATACTTTTATTAAAAGAGTAAGGTAACATTATGTCTCGAACCTCGCGCATTAATACATTAGAAATGTCAACACGAAAAAAGTAATTAGCAATTAACTTACCTTTCTCCGAAAAAGAAGTAAATACAGCGATGTTAACAGTTCAAACACTGATATGTATGTATTGTCCAAAACACAATCACATGTAAAATCTGTAGGTACCACTGCAATGTTCGATAGTTTTGAGTTATTATTTTAGTTTGCCGATAAGAACGGACTGTTCACTGTTATTTTGAACCAGCGTCTCGCTCGCAACGAAGCACCGCGTGCATTTCAATAGATGAAAGTGTAAACCGTGGTTTTGTATAGCGCCCTCTCAGTTGCGCTCGTGTGCGCGAAAAAGAGAGAAAACTTGCTATGTTCAAGTTTGGCTTTTATGAGTGGAGCGACAACTTCGCCCACTATCTTATTTATTAACTGCCTTTAAAAAAAGCTATTGGTTCTCAGTTCGTCAATCTTCTCTTTACTTTACTTGAAGACGGCTAGACTAAATTTGGTTTCAATAACATACTATCCAGATTTTTAATTATCAGATCCTGACCTTATAGCAAAGAGTGCTATCAGGTCAGGATCTGATAATTGTATTTCGAAATTGGAACTTATAATATTATATCATAAATATTATTTGTTTGAGTTATTATTATACTAATAGCATTTACCAATGAAAATGGATGGTGGGTTAATAAAAGCGGATTACAGTAATCTGACAAAAGTTCCTGGGCAGTTTTCAAGTCTAAGGAGCCATGGGGGGTAAAGAAAAATCTATACATGCCCTTATCTTGGGAGGGGGGAGGGGGGTAAAACCCATTATTTTGGTTATATACTACAAGTCGAAATTTATTATTAAAAATCTATTTCTATTTCGGATGCTGGATGATTTTCTTCATTCTATAAGGTGCACTTCGATTTACGTCTTATTTTACAAATGTTTATTGTTTATTAAAAAAATTAAATTCAATACGTAAGAATCTTCATTTTCATCCATTTTAAATGTCATAAATAATAATTATATTGCCTATAGTGAATTCTTTAATACACTCATAGTGAGTTTATACTGTGAAATTTATTTTCTTAAAGAGTAATTTAAAACGATTATTTTAAAAGTATCATTTGTTTAAAGATTGTTTAACTGATTTATGTTTGTTCACTTTAAGATTAGTTAAAAACTTACTTTTAATTATGATAATAATATTCCAAAACTAGATAGTTATCTAGTAATATAAAGATAATCTATATCTGATAGCAATGATAAAGTATAACATAAATGATCTGCTAAAAAATAAAAGTCTTTGATTTACGTCAAACTCTGAGTTTTAGTGTAACTGATCCTTTTCTCACAACGTTTTATTATTTAGGAAGACGACAACAATGTCAACAATATTTAAAAGTAAAAATGCCGAATTGTGTTATGAAAGGGTGTTCTACGTTATTGCCTTGCATGATTTTGTTGGCTGCAACTGTAAGATGAGCGTTAACGTTTACCTTACATTTGGAACTGTACCGTACACTCTTGTACGGCGTACGCATTTAAATGCGTACAAGAGCAAATAAAGATGATATTACATGATTCCCCTCTGACACCGTTGCTACTTAGATACTGTTTAAATTATTCGGGAAAGTGAACTTCTGAAGCCGCCCGGATCTGCCTCTTCTCTCCACGATGGCAAAAATAGTGTTCTTGCGTCTGTTTGTTATGTTCACTAGTAGTCGTCTTTTTCGTTTTCATTTTTTTTATTTTTTTACCTCAGCCTATGCTTGTAGACTGCTGGACATAGGCCTCTCCCAATGATTTCCAGCGGGGACGGTTGATTGCGGCCTGCATCCAACGGTTTCCGGCAACCTTTACCAGGTCATCCGTCCATCGGGTAGGCGGTCGTCCCACACTGCGCTTTCCAGTACGTGGTCTCCATTGGAGAACCTTGCTGCCCCATCGGCCGTCAGTTCTCCTTGCTATGTGCCCTGCCCATTGCCACTTGAGCGCGCTAATCCGTTGGGCTATGTCGACCACCTTTGTTTTCCTGCGGATCTCCTCGTTGCGGATTCGATCACGCAGGGAAACGCCAAGCATAGCCCTTTCCATTGCACGCTGAGCGACTCTGAGCTTTCTGATTAGGCCCATAGTAAGAGACCACGTCTCAGTTCCGTAGGTCATCACTGGTAACACACACTGGTTGAAGCATTTCGTCTTTAGGCACTGAGGTATTTTGGACGTGAAGACGTTTCGTAATTTCCCGAAAGCTGCCCAGCCGAGTCGGATTCGACGATTGACCTCTTTCTCGAAGTTGGACTTACCTAATTGGACCGTTTGTCCTAGGTAGACATATTCGTCAACAACTTCGAGGACAGAGTTTCCCACGACTATGGGAGTCGGCGCGACATGGACATTCGACATGATTTTCGTCTTGTCCATGTTCATTTTAAGGCCGATCTGTTGGCCGTGTGGTGCCGGCATAGAATAGTACCACCCCATTTCTTCCCGTGGGTGTCGTAAGAGGCGACTAAGGGATAAAGCCAGGGAACGGGCAGCAGCGTTTCAGAATACCAAATGGCACACACTGCGCTCGCCAACCCGTCTGCCAAGCGTGGCGAATACGGCAAAACCTCCACAATGAAAATAAGACAGCACAGGACCAGGCCCCCAGTACCCGGCAGCCCCGCCAATCCTGGCTATGGTAGCGGTCATGGCAGTGGCGGGGCAGGGGGTGCGAAGAATCCCCGGATGGGATCCGGCTACCACCCCCAACGACAACTGGCCCTGGTAACACACAACATACGCACTTTGAGGACAGACGAGAAGATAGTCGAGCTGGAAGAAGAGCTGAGCAAATTGCGCTGGGATATAGTGGGTTTAGCAGAAGTCCGAAGGGAGGGTGAGGACACGATTACCCTGAATTCCGGCAATTTGCTCTACTACCGGGAGGGCGAACAACAGTCCCAAGGTGGTGTCGGGTTTATCGTCCACAAGTCTCTCATTAGCAACGTGATATCCATCAATAGTGTGTCGAGCAGGGTAGCGTACCTTATACTCAGAATATCTAAGAAATATTCGTTGAAGGTCATACAGGTTTACGCACCGACCTCGACACACCCAGATGATGAAGTGGAAGCTATGTAATCAGTCGGGCCATACATAGCACTATTACACACTACACCGTTGTTATGGGAGACTTCAATGCAAAGCTGGGCCGAAGAAGCGATGATGAGTTGAGAGTCGGGCAACTTGGTTATGGGCAACGGAACCTCAGGGGACACAGGCTGGCCGATTTCCTGGAAACGGAGGGACTCTTTATGATGAACTCTTATTTCCAGAAGCCGCCTCACAGGAAATGGACCTGGATGAATCCCGATGGTTCCACAAAAAATGAGATTGACTTCATTTTGACCAACAAAAGGCGTATATTCAATGATTTATCCGTGATTCACAGGGTGAAAACCGGAAGTGATCACCGAATGGTTAGAGGCGCACTGAATATAGACGTTCAGTTGGAACGCGCCCGTCTAATGAAGTCCACGCTCCGACCTTCGATTGCTCAGATCCAAAACCCCGAAAGCTTTCAACTCGAATTGCAAAATCGCTTCGAATGCCTAGATAGCTGCACATCAGTGGACGAAATCAATAGCAGGCTAGTAGAAAGTAAGTCTCTCCAGCGGAGCCGTATTGACTATCGGTACATCGAGGTATTGAAGTATTGGTACGCCAATATGTCAGTTCGAGTACAGGACCAATACACGAAGGCAATTCCATTACAGAGAGGGGTAAGACAGGGAGACGTTATTTCTCCAAAACTGTTTACCGCTGCTCTGGAAGATGCCTTCAAGCTCCTGGAATGGAAAGAACTTGGCATCAACATCAATGGCGAATACCTCACTCACCTTCGATTTGCCGACGACATCGTAGTCATGGCAGAATCGCTGGAGGACCTGGGACAAATGCTCGCTGACCTTGACGGAGTTTCTCGTTTTAAATACATAGTTTTAAATACAATAAAATAACAATAAAAAGCTTTATTTTCACCATCAACCAAAATGTAAATAACAATATTTTTCGACTATAATACAATATATGGTTGTGGATCATTCGTGCCAGAAGTAGATAATAAATTATCTGTATTTAAACTGCTCCTTCCTGCCAATTGTGATTCAATCTGGGCGACGCAAGCGAGAGAGCGTAGAAGAGAAGTAGAAGTTGCAAATGAGGTGTTCAAATTCAATATTTTTGACATCTTGTACACGATAATGATTTGACTGCACGGATGGCGTAGTGATTTAAGCGGTCGCCACGCCGCTTCCTACTACGCCGAGTGCTGTGGTTTCGAGCCCCACATGGGACGACACTTTGTGTGATCCACAAATTGTTGTTCTGAGTCTGGGTGTTCTTTGTATCCGTTTCATGTATGTTTGTAAAGTCCCCCAGCGACACAGGATATATTCCTAATGCGGGCGTTGTCTTATTAAAAAAAAATGCGTAAGAAGGTAGCATCTATTTATGCAGTGGTGGGATGAGCACCAACGGCACTCTGAGGGTATTTGCTGAGAGGGTGGTGGATGAGCCTGTCAGGGGCAGATTTACTAGGCTGCATGAGTTACATGTTGCGTAGATGAACTCCCCATGTATAGAGGAACTCCTCCACATTTAGTTTTTTTGATATTATTAAGTTATTAACTAACATAGTTATTAACTTGTTTGTAATACTAACACTATGGACCTGGATATCTGATAATAAAAAAAATATGTATTTATTATTATTTGTCGTATCACCTCGTTTTGAGAGCAACTCCCTAGCTGCGTCAGCCAGTATCGGAATCCTAGGCATTGACATACCGAGCGAAGTCCAGTTTCGAGGTCACTTAGAGAGTAAGGTCAAATTGGCCTCGATGAAGCTCGGTGTGCTGAACAGATCGAGGCAGTATTTCACTTCGGCCTACCGCCTTGAGCTCTATTGGCGCAACTCCGGCCGCATGTGGAATATCGTTCTCATCTCTATGCAGGCGAACCTCAGTACCAACTTCTCCCTCTGGACCGCATCCAACGAAGAACGACTTGAATCGTCGATAACCCAAAGATCTTCGATCGGCTCGATCGATCGAAGATGTGGCTTCGCTCTGCATTCTCTATCTCTCAAACATTAATGAGTTTGAAGTTAGAACTATTTTACATATATTA